ACCGGGCTCAGTTCGGTGAACCAGGCTCAGTTGAGTGTACCGGTGCTTAGAATTATGGTTTTTGGCCCAGTTCAGCTTAGTTTGGAGAGGTTCTTGGCCGGTTTAGGATGGTTCCTAGGGTTTTGGGCTTTCCGAATCCAATTTTGAGGGTTTCGTTGCCAATTGAGTGAGTTGGGGGTAGTTTTGAACGGGGTTAAGCCAGTTCGAGAGTTTTGGATGCCGGTTCACTACGGTTCGAGGATCGTGAAGGCGGGTTCCGTAAATTTGAGGGTAGATGAGTATAGTATTAAATGTTAGTGGGTCAAGGGGTCTCAAAGTGAGTTAATGGTTCCTTGGGATGCGTGTCAAGAGCCCGAACATGGGAGAAGTCCCGGGCCACTTCCGATGAGTGAGTATTTTTGGGAGTGAATTCAGTTTCGATTTTGACTTATGCTTTGGTGATTGTAGATACTGCAGGGGAGGTTTGCTTCGATCATTGACCCATCTGTTTGAGATTCAGTGCTCGGTTTTGACGTGTCCGGTGAGTGACAGTACTCTCTGTACATGTGTTTGCATTCTATTTTTCTGTTAGTTTCTGTGTTTGATTTTTGAACTATGTTAGTATTTTTAGTATATGTATCTATCTATTTTAAAGTATGATAAGCTTGAAATTAATTCTGTAATCACATATATATATCTGCCTTAGTGACATATGTGTTAATTGTTAAGTAAATCTGTCTTGAATTTGCATGTGATTCTGGTTTTCTGGTTCCGACTCTAATTCTGATCAGGGGTGCCAGGGACTCGGCCACTAGACAGTTGGCTGTCGTATCGTGCGGGAGTGCCTTGAGTCTGTACAGTTGGCCGTCGTAGCATGCGGGGAGTGCATTGGGCCAATGATGTGATACGTGCAATTCTGATTCTGATATATGATTCTGGTTCTGGCTTTGGTTCTGGCACGGGATCCTAGTGGGACGTGTGATATGTGACTCTGATTATGATTATGGGATGCCAGGGGCTCTGCCGTCGGGTAGTTGGTCACTGTCGCACAGGAAGTGCCCTGGGTCCACCTGTGACTCTAGTTCTGATTCTGGGACGCCAAGGGCTCTGCTGTCGGACGTTGGCCACCGTCACACGGAAAGTGCCCTAGGTCCACCTGTGACTCTGATTCTAATTCGGAATGCAGGGGCTCAGCTGGCGGACGATTGGCCGCCGTACTGTGCGGGGAGTGCCCTAAGTCCGGACAGTTGGCCACCGTAGGGTGCAGGGAGTGCCCTGGGTCCATGTATGGCTTTGATTCTGATATGTGTTATGTGGTACATTCTGATACTCTGACTGAGTTCTGATTATAACTGTGCATATGAAACTATATGTATTAGTTGAAACAATGTGATTTTTGTAAACCGTGTTGTTACTTACGTGATACATGTGTTTTAGATAATTTTAGTTCCTGTCCTGGTATGTCCAAATAGTACTGTCATTCACTAAGTTATATACTCATTCCTTTTCCCCCACCTTCCAGATTCCAATTCTGATAGGCAGCGATAACTCCAGCGTCGTTTCGTCGCCACTACACTGATTCGATTGTATGGGCACTTTCTGTATATTTACTTTTTATACTCTAGACGCTCCATGTGTAGTCAGACGTGTTTTGTTATTTGTAAGTATATGGATGGTTTTTGAGGACATATTTGGTCTGCTTTGTTTGGGTCAGAGATTTACTAGGGTTGGTACGCCAGCCATAGTGTCGGTCACGCGTCCGAGTTAGGGCGTGACAATATTTTTTCATGTAAATGCCTTGAAAAATGAATGCATGTATGAATAATATGCAGCTAATTTATTCCTAATCCCGGATGTCACAATAAATGCCAGTAATTTTATAAGGGTATGGATGTCACTTTTTGGTATTTAAAGCTACCAAAATACCAATTAAAAAAAGTAAATTTTAACTTCCACATCACTCATTGCATTTGCATCTTGTCACTTTAACATAAAAAATGAACGAAATTGAAACTGTTTAAAAATAAATGATCAACTTGCTATGAAATTTTTTATTTAATAAATAAAAAATTAATAAAATAACTTTACAGAAATACTATAACTAAAAACATGAAGAATATGTGTTACCTGCTTCTACACCTCCAATAAAAAAATAATCAATTTTTAATAAAGGAAGTCAAACCTTTCTGCATTTAATTCATTTTAAAATAAGGTAGATGCCAGCAATAATAATAATAATATTATTATTATTATTATTAAAGTTGATATTAATTGTTATGAATACATTAAATATGCAAATTATATGTTTCTTAGAAAATTGAGATGGTGAGGTAGGATTAGGTTGGTTTCTCAGTCACCTTAAACTTTTCCTGCATCCTAACCATTGTGTAAAGTTCTTTTTTTTTTTCAAAGTTTATTTTTGAAAATCAAATTATGATATTCACATATCTTATTCATGTTAAAATTAAAATATATGAAAACTAATTTATTTACAGAAAAATAAAAATTAATTACATTAAATGCTTGTTAAATAATTTTTTTTGACATTATTTCTCTTATGAGTTAGACATGTTTTAACAAGGAGTTTTTTGACAAGGGATTGTGTAATGGTGTGTGATTGACCAATTTTTTATATTCATGTGTTTGGCTTTTGAGGTCTGTATTTTTCAAATTTTTTTTACTTTGAAAGTGTACCATCTTGCTTTAAAATTTAAAAATACATATTCTGAACTTTTAAAAAAATTATAAGGAGATGCAAGCTTGCAAGAACCCGCTGGCAAAAACCCACCAGCAGCTTCTGCTTGAGTGTCTATAAATCTGGCCTGTAATGTGTTGAATAAGTCTACAAATTTGTTAAATTGAGTAGAAATAACAAAAATTGGTTTCCAAGTATTTTTTGGTCTTTTGCCCTCTATTAATTTAGGTTTTTGAAGTTGCCCTTACTTTTGTTACTCGTGTGTTGCATATCAAAGGATGGTGCACTTTTGATAATTTTAAATATTAAGAATTAAATTTATAATTTTAAAATGTAAAGTGTTAAAAATTTTTATTTTTAAAGTAAAAGATGTCAAAAAGCGTATCTTTCTCTGCAACACATTTATTGGGCCTTGGTTGATAACGGGGATTTGCTTGGATACAATTGCACTTCAGGCCCTATGGCATTTGATAATCCACAGCATAGTCATTGGGCCTTGTTTGGAAATGGAGCTTTTCTGGGATGCAATTGCACTTCAGGCCTTATGGCAAACAGGAAACAGGGAGGAGAAACAATACTTATGCTACAGGATAAAGAGAGGAAAGAGGATAGGGGGGTGAACCACCAGCAAAGATGTCTTGGTTTGTCTTCTAAGACTTCGTTTTAAAACTCCGTGCGAATTTTGTGATTGTAATATTGCTCTTGGAGGCCAGCGCGTGGTGGAAATGAAGCTGTTAGGCAGACATTTTTTCAGCTTATTTCTTCATCAAGTTTTTACTGCTCTCTCTCTCTCTCTCTCTCTCCTCTGCAGCTTCCAGTGGCGACTGAAGCTCGCTGACTTTTTCTTTAAAAGTTGGTGAAGACTACCGTACACCCCTCTCACAAGGGGTGGGCCCCACTGTCGGGGCCCTGTATTGGGAGGGGGCCCCACAGCCAAATTTTACAATTCCCCCTCACAGAAGGGGGGATTGTACCGGTGAGCGTTCACCTTAAAAGTAATATGTTGTCTTCGTTTTATTTCTTTTTTTTTTTTTTTCAGTTGAAGAGGAAATTAACTTTAAATTAATATTCCAAAGTATCAATTTGGACACTTAAACACACTCACACAACCTTGTCTACAACCGATGTGGGAATACTGGGGAGAACAAGCCAAATACAAAGTTTTTTTTCCGTCTTATTTCTTTTAATTCTTTTAATTGATCCATGTTTGAAATTGAAAGGATGGGCTAACAGGTTTGCTGCGTACTGTTATGTTGCAAGTTAAAAAATGTCACTTAACGAAATTTAGATGGTATATATTGTAACGGAATTCGTCAATATATTTTTATTTGACTGAAAATAAAAATTAAAGGATCAAGTTAAACACAATAAACAATAAAGGGATCAAAATGAATATTGAAATGAAGTTTGACCATCTCACCTGTCATCTGCAATAGTATGGCTGAAATATTGAGAGATACTAATTTGATTATTTATGATCTCTCGTTTATGAAGTGATGAACATAACTAATGCTTGCAGAGATTACGTGTGGGAATCCTAATTCATTCATTTGTGCTGAAGGAAGAGTGCGGTTTTATCTTCGGGTAGAAGCCTAGAATTCAAGCAACTGTTTGTTTTCTAGCTCCTGTCAGTTCCTTTTGGATAAAATGTCGTCGCCGGACTGAGTCATTTTACATGCTTTTTTGTCTTTTTTTGAGCTCGAGTTTCAATCCCATATACAGACATAATATGAGATTAAGACAGGACAAAAACAACAATTAAAAAAAAAGTAAAGAATTCAACCACAAAGTCTGGAAATTTTTGAGCAACTAGGCCAGACAACAGACGAAAGTAGAGGCCTTATATAACCAGCTACCAAACGCTTTCTTTGAAGTTCTTTATTAGTGCAAGTTGAGTGACGACGACCTGATTTTCCCACTTCTGCCCCTAAGATTTTCTCCCTTGGCCTGTTTTGAGTCCCATGTAACTGCACAGAAAAAGAAATTTTGTTATAGTGGAAAAACAATTTTATACCAGGCGAGGAAAGGTAGATTTTTACGAGTAATTTACAATATTTTGCCATGGCTTCGAGGTAATTCCACAAAAGTAAAAAAAACATTTTTGCCACCCCATATTTTACCTTCAAACCTTTTGGAGATTTGGTAACTTTTTGGTCACTCTTAGCCTTTAGAAAAATTGTTTCAACTTCTATTCTCACACCTCTCACCCTATTAAATTTTATCAAAAATTTCCTTCATATATTTTTAAGCAAAAACTTACCGGCATAACATCATAACAGTGGCTTGAGGGTTGGTCCCCGGCGAGGAAGTGAATGTGGATCCATCAACAAACACGCAATGCATTGACACCCACAACCTTTAAATCCTTGTCCACCACCTTCCCCACCACACACCCACCGTGATAATTCCAGATGGTGGCCATGGTCTTCCTACAAAAAGTCTCCATCTCCTCATCGTCAGTCTTGTTTTCAGGGAAGGCGCGACCCACAAATTTAAAATACCGGTTACCTTCCTGGTCCTGAAACTTGTACTTCTCCATTGCCTGGGAGTTCATTGCCTTCTCAACATTGCGCATCCCCTGGACACACTGGGCCAAATCCTTTGGGTCTGAGAAGTAATTGAACCGGACCTTGGGGGCGATTGCGGATATCCATAGTGATTCCAAGTGAAGTGAACCGGTTGAGACCGTTTTGAAAGCTTCTCAAAGAGGGTCAACACTGGGAAGCTCACGGGAGGAGATGGGTGTGGGAAGACTATGACGCCAGGAGGAGAATAAAATGGAAAAACACCTGTTAAGAAACAAATAAATAAATCGTTAAATTTATTGGATGGATGTAATTAACTAAATATAACTCAATGAGAACTTTAAATTTTATGGTATATTTGAGTTTTTTTCAAAAAAATCGACTTACAACCTTCTACTTGTAGGACAATGAGTAATTCTGGGGCTCATTATTCTACTGAAAACTTCATTTAATAATTGATATAAATTTGATTCTTTTATTAATAGTTATAATTGACTCCATTGAACAAAACTTTTGACTAGTCAAATGAGACGGGGGTTAAACACTTGCGGACCTGATATAGCTTCCACGTAATAACCATTTTTTGGTGATCCCTACCACGCCGAGCCCGCCGACCGCCATTGGAAAAGGAGGGATGATGTTGATGTCATTGCGCGTTAGGTCGTAGAGGAGCTGGCCAACAAAGGGCTGGTGGTAGATGGCGGGGATGTTCAAGGAGGAGAGGTCTGAGTTTGGGCCAACACCGCTTAGTAGCAAAAGCTGAGTACTACCAATAGCGCCAGCGCTTAAATTACTTCACCTCCGGGATGTAACATGACTCCATGGGTCCGGCCAGTGGAGTCAATGTAAACGACTCCAACAGCAGATAATCCTTGGCGGACAGAGGATAACATATTAAACAAAAGACAGGATACCGAAGTAAACTCCAAGCTTTTACAGAATAGTAATTGTAATTGGGAATAACAATTAATGGGTTATTATTATTTTTATTTAGCACATAAATAAAATAATAAATAATAAAATTTGGTTTTTCATTTTTACCCAAAGACTCTGAGTTGTGGAAGACGACCCTCTCGACCGTGGCATGAACGGCCACTTTGAGGTTGTTGAGGTTGCCTTTACTTAAAAGCTCCACCGCCCCATGTCTTTTCCCGAATCAATGATGGAGCCTACAAGCTTAGCCCCCACTTCATGATCAAGAGTGAATCCCCTGTACGGACCATTCCCTGCATCCAGGAATGCCTCCTTCACCGAAGACTGCCCACGTGTTGATGTCGGGTTGAAATACAATTGTGTCCTCCACCCATTGGTAGGACTCTTCCACAAGACGCATGTCCACTCTACCCTGATTCTGCATAGAACTCCTCGTTGCCCC